CATACAGTTATGAGTTCCGAATTTCCACAACATATGTCTGTTAAGTGTCTCGTGAGGGACCCACGATAAGGTTTGAAGCGTCTGTAAAAATTAACGAAGCTGTTGAACGCATGCAATTGCTTGACTATGGTTGGTTCTAGGTGTGATTTGTTTAACACAAGCAGCATACAACGCCCATCAGGAATAAAATGCCTGGCGGCAGAAGGTTGAGAAGATCGAAGAAAGAGAAGAACGGAAACAGAAAGTGACCGGTGTGAAAATGAAGGAACAACGAAGTCTGAGACATTCAATGAACATTTTACAAATGAAGTATTGGGGTAAGGTTTTTCAATACCATAAAGTAACTCTGTAATTTTGTGCTTAACATAATCACTTGTTCTCACCTGTGTTCTCGTTGACTACATCGGTACAAGAGAATGACTACCACATTGCTTTTAAGAGAGCGAATACTTTAATCGTTGATAGTGTGTCCGCGAATGTTCGGGGAGCCAGGCACTTTCTGACATTTCTGAATATTTATAATAATGCTATGTTCTTGGGACCTTCTGAGAACCAGATTTAGATGCTGGAACTAAATTTCTAAGTTCGGACTCGTGATCAAACATTCATCTACACATGCGTGCGCGAAACCGAGTCCCAGAAAGACGTCATCCATGAATCTCTGAAACGTTCGTGCGGAATTTACCAAGCCGAAAGCCGAAAATTCTTAGAGTCTACAAGGAGTGATGATGCCCGTTCTAAGAATGTTGTATACAGCTATAAAAAATTGGTTATATGCTTTAAACCGATCAATTTTTGAGAAAGCGGTTGTAACTTGTAAGGTGGCTGTCAGACCGGGGATGTGTGGCAGGGTTTTTAACGATTGAGAGTGGCTTTCGTACTCAGTCGCCAACAATCACCAGTTGGACGACAATTGTTCCTATCATTCCTAGGGACCATGCGCAAGTAAGATACCTACAGGCTGTTTGATGGCCGGATAACTCCCAGGTCTACCATATGATCGAATTTGTTTTTGGCGAACTGGAGCTCTTCGTGAGCTAGTTGGTTCTCTTACTGGGATGTGGTGTGTAACATTGTTGGCTGCGCAAGGTAATTTTTGTCGCGTTATGTAAACTTGAAAGTAGTTGTCGAGTATCCGTCAAATAGATGGATCGACTATGTTTTTAAACATAACCGGGCACAACCTACAACCAAAAAACGAAGATTCACAAACAACTGACTAAGTATTTCGTTCTACTAACCTCGTTGTCCTAGTTCGATGAGTAGGTTATGCTGCTATAGCATGTCTGTACATATGATTAGCACAGAAACGTTTGTGGTGACAAAAATCCGGTGAATAGACTTGCACAAACACACGCTTAGGCAAAGAAATCTTTTACTGAATTCACTTATTTACGCCTGTTACTCCTCGTAGAGGAGCATAGGCCACACACCAGTATTCTCCATCCAACCCTGTCCATAGTATCGAAGAAGGTTCCATAATGTTCTCCTGTTCACAATGTCAAACACCGTCTCATAGTCAATGAAGGTCCTCGAATAAAAAATCATATCACTATATGCAAAAATATAAACAAAAATATTATATATAACGTTACTATAAGGAACAGACTAATAGTTTATTTCGATAATGTAATGAGAAAACGAAGATTATCAGAACTATGTAATATATTAGCGCAATACATTTCGAACAACCTGATCACACATATACTTGTTAAGAACATTTATATATAAAAATAAAAGGTCAACTAGACTGGAAATAGGGATAAGAATAGACAAGGATAATAATGATAAAATAATGTGAAAACAATTTGACACCTAATCATTCTGGATAATAAGCATATATTACCAGGGTAGGTTTAAAGAGAGAACAAACTGTTTTTGAACACACAAGAGGGGTTTGAATTTTCGTATGGCTAAGGCTTCAATAAACTTTAGTATACGCCCTTTTACACTTTTAAACAGCACAACAAAAGCCGAGTTTAGATCAATCTTATGACCTGTTTCGATTATATGTTTAGCAATAGAGGATGATGGATGTTTATCCTCTACTCTTATTGAGTCATTCGACTGTATTTGTTTTTGCAACCATTTTGGTACATGTTCACCCACCCCAATTTTCAGATCACGATCGCTCCTGCCTATGTATGTGTGACCACACACACATTTAAATTGGTAAACGCAGTGGGATGTGACACAATTGTTTTCATGTCGTCTAGGTTTTGAATGAAGCATGGACCTCGTTCTTTCCTTGATTATGACTTTCGCAGCACAATACATTTTGTTGATAACCGATTTGAGCCTTTGTTTCAATAAAAGGCTATTTGAATCACCTCTAAATGGTAAGGTGATGTAGGCAGGCTTTTTCTCTACCAAGGCTACAGTAGGTCTCACTGTGCCCTGAACTTTCCATCTATTGATAAATTTAGGTGGATAGCCATTCCCGATTAATGTCTTGGTTAACAACTTAACATCGTCATCAATAGCGTCATTTGTGCAAATATGACGAAGCCTGTTAAAAAGGCACTTTACCAATCCACGTTTGTACTGTACAGGGCAATAACTATAGTAACTAAGATATTGACCCGTCCACGTCGGTTTTCTCACGAATTCCAGTACGCTCGACAGTTCCGCCTGTAAACTTTGGCACGTCTCGATATTTTTTAGATAACACGAGATCGCCAACAAGTATATCTTATTGCAACCATTAACAGCCTTCTCGTTTTTGGCCTACCGAGAGATCCATGTCGATACCTGGCACGTAATCTTCATGTAGTAGTGACCATAGTCAATCGCGACACGACGCCGTCTACAGGCTAAACAAACACTGAACAACTGGGAAAACGGCATTACAACGTTTCAAAACGGCATTCCTTCGAGGTATTAACAAACTCAACACATTCAAGATAACTCTCAACAACAGATTCCAAGGCTTACAAGATCTGCTTGAAGAAGATGAAATTACTATGGTGAAAAACTGGAAAGGGATCAAAGAAGCACTAACTCCAATATGTCAGTAGGTTCTGGGCCTCAAGAAGCATCGTCATAAGGAGTGGATCTCTATGGGAACCCTGGACAAGATCCAGGAAAGGAATAGCAAGAAGACAGCAATTACTAACAGTGGGACGAGAGCAGAGAAAGCCAAGGTGTAGATCGAATACACAGAAGCAAGAAAACGAATGAAGGGGATTATTATAGCTGACAAACAGAGCTACGTGGAAGAGATAGCCACGGAAAAGCTGTAAAAGAAGGAAATACGAAACAACTTTACGACACAACGAAGAAACCGGCAAGGAAGATATAGTAAACGAGAGAGATGGTTCAATGACAAAGAAGGCAAGACAATCACGGAGATTCAAGAACAGAGGAACAGGTTGGTAGAACACTTTGAGGAACTCCGAAATAGGTTATTTTCATTGAATCCACCGGACAAGGAAGCAGCATCTACAGACCTTCCTGTAGATGTCACTTCATCAACGATCCATGACATCAGGAAAATGAAGTTTTGTAAACAGTACCAGTACCTAGCAATATACCAGATGAAACACTGAAGAAATACTTAGAAGTAACTGAGGAAATGCTCCACGTTCTATTGAGGATGTTTGGGGAGGGAGAATAAGTGCCGATTGACTTGAAAGAATGATACCTCATCAGGACACCAAAGGAAAGAGATCTGAGGAAATGTGAGAACGACAGAGGAATGACGCAACTATCGTTATATGGCAACGTCTTCAAAAGAATATTGCTGAGCCGGATGAAGGATTCCGTAGACGCTCAACCTCTTGATAAACAGGTCGGTTTCTATAAGGATCAACCGTGCACAGACCAAATCACGACACTACTGATAATCATTGGACAATCAATTAAATGGAATTCGTCACCATGCATCCCACATATATCAACAAATGCAGGTGAGGACAATCAGTGTACCAGCAGCCCCTGAATCAGTGGGCATCAACAAACACCAGGAAAAAACCTAAATCCCTAAATACAGCACGGAGAACACCTGATGGAGAAACTCTGGAAGAGGTGGGATCTTTGACGCACCTGGAAAAACGTAATGTTCAGAATATGTCAACCCAAACAAATCAAAAGTCAGAAGTGAAGAGGTTCGAAGATATTTTTGAAAAACCATTGATATATTGAGAAGCATTTAACCTAAGCTGGACAGTGGTTACAGATGGGTAGCATGGTATGCTCATTCGTGATATGGTGCGGATGTGACCGAGCGCCTTTAACTAGATATGTCCATTAAAACTAGCATGATCCGCATCAAATGTCAAGGACTTCCTGAACTATTTAATTTTGGGATTTATTTATAGTTACAAACTCAGATGTTTCTACGATCTGTTTTTATTGTTGACAGGCTGAACGTTTCTCATATGATGAAAGATGCACGCGAGGCAGAAGTCATGCCTAACTCTTTTAGAAAACCATTCACCTACAAGTCTTTAGTTTTTGATATCACAGGCTAGGTCAATCACCATTAATGATTATTAGGATTTAGGCTAACTCCACCAATGTCCCTGAGCCTATTGACCAATTAGCCCGACAAGTATGGTTGAAAAAGCATCCAAAACTCTTATTAGACAAACAGTGCTGACCATCCTTAAAGAATTGAAGGTGGCTGTTCAAATAGTCTTATTCTATGAATATATGGTTTAAATGCAATTAATGTAGAAGTTTGAACTATCTGCTTATAGGTGCAATATCAAGAATGCTCTAATATGACGCTTGCGTTGTTGGTTGTTGTTTATTACTGTCCCTAATAAGTGAAGGCACTTGTTAAGTCCTCGACTCACTTTTTCTTTCATTCTCTTTTCCAGTTCTCACTCACAGTTCTCGGCATGCTCCCCTATCACATAAAGTACCTGCTGTTTAGATGTGAATCTCTGCATGAAGAAACTTCATAGCCACTATTAAACAATAGTAGTTATTGGACATTGTTTTAATTACTTCTATTGGCGGTACACCGGCCTCGTTATCTATAGGTTGTACTCAAAATGCCTGCAGGGAAACCTTCTGGTCTGAAGACTGCGCGCAAGCTCAGAGACCATCGCCGGACTCAGAGATGGTCAGATAAAGCATACAAAAAAGCTCATATTGGAACAAGGTGGAAAGCGAATCCTTTCAAGGGTGCCTCACACGCAAAGGGTGTTGTACTTGAAAAGGTAAGTCACATGGTTTAAGACATTGTATCTCAGGTTGGTGTTGAAGCTAAACAACCGAATTCTGCCATTCGTAAATGTGTAAGAGTTCAGCTCTTAAAGAATGGGAAGAAAATCACTGCTTTTGTACCTAATGATGGCTGCTTAAATTTCATTGAAGAAAATGATGAAGTTCTAGTGTCTGGTTTCGGGCGAAAGGGGCACGCAGTCGGAGACATACCTGGTGTAAGATTCAAGATTGTTAAGGTTGCAGGTGTATCACTTAAAGCTTTGTACACACACAAGAAGGAAAGACCCAGAGCTTAGTATTTTTCATAATATATATTCGTTTTTGGATATGATTTGTTAATTATCAATACCATATTAACATTTTTTGTTGTGTAGTAGGATAGGTTTTTGCACCATCGGAAGTGCCCGGTGTCTGTACTTCACGTTCTCTAAGCCTCCTCCTGTTCCGAATGCTAAATCGAACGATTATTTCCGCGTCGGTCAGTCTGACCACTTGTGATTAAATACTATCTCTTGGTACTGATCGTAGCTGCATCACGGTGTTGTGAGGGTATATCTTGTCATTCATAAATTAGTTTGATAGTTTCTGAAATAATACAGTCCTTATTATATTTCATGTCGTATAGAAATGTTTGTTACTTTCACCTCATTGTTGTGGATTCGTAAGGTTTTTCACTCAGATTCCTGAAAGTGAATATGTTCACGACTTCACTGAACATCTCGATCGTAAATATGTAATCCCTGTTAGCCTGCTCTGGTGTATCGTATGTCCATATGCCCAAGTTTCTAAGACACGAAACTTAACGAAGCAACTAACTCGGGTTATTCAGAAATCGAGCCCCAAGAATCCAGGTTTCAGGAAAACAATTTTAGATTCCTGATGGGTTGTTCATTAACTCTTATTGTTATACATTCTGTCCTGTGTTGGATGACTAGTGAATCTCAAGTCACCTAGTAAGCGGGAGATCCTGTAAAAAGTAATTTTCAGACAAATATTTTGTGGCCAAAAGAAACTAGTTTGTATTGATACAAATTGAACAAATCGATGTGTTTCAATTTATTTCCCCCATGCGAAAACAGTAGATCTATTTAGTAGTAAATGGTTATCTGTAGTTTTGTATATCAGCTTACCGGAGTTGGTTGGGAAAATCGTAGATTGAGTTTGTCAGACGGATGCATTTTAACTGTAATTTGGAATAATTTTATCAATTGTTGACTCGGAATATATGTAGTCATCAGATTTATATTAGACAGCACAGTGCTTCCAAAAAGGCGGTTCACTGTTATTCCAACTACTTACAAGATCATATAATGTTTAATTTCAACTATTAAGAATACTGACGTTGTACCGCTCGGCCTTTATATTAGAAAACTGGTGGACCTGAAATATTATATTTACTTGACTTAATACTCTACCAGTGTGGAAGAGTCAGGTTCACTTCCTTCAAGAAGCTAATATATGTAAGGCATATTCAACACGTGTTTCTGTGAAGTATGTAAACTAAAGCATTTGGGTACAGTATACTTCTCTTCTATCGATGTTATTTTCGCAAAGATTGATACGGGAAACTTGTGACGATAGTTAGTAGATTATAAACAGCTGCCGGTCGTCTAGTTTATCTACGCTCTAAACCAACAGTTATATCCGAAAATTCGAGCAAGTATGTTGAAGGTGGTTTGAAATTGCCATAAGCCGACTCATCAAAGATGTATATATTAGCCCGTGGTAGAGATACATCAATTTTTCTTTTCCTTTCTAGATCTTCACAGTTATACTGTGTTATTAGCGAACAATCCTAATATGGTAGGGGAAGCGTTATTTTTTGCTCCAATTTACCTGTAGCGAACAGTTCCTCAACTCAGATGGTAACACTTTATAGAATTGTGGGCTTTTCAATAAATGATAGATTTCCATTGCCTCCAGATTTTGAGTCACTTTCAGCTGGAAAATAATAAAAGATATATTTATAGTACTAAAAGAGACAAAACATACATTATCCATGATGTATCTAGACTCTATGTTGTTTTCACAGGGTGAGATCCTCAAATATTGAATCTTTCCAACGTTTCCTCGCTCAATCTAAAATGTTTTTGACGAAAGATTCATCAAAATAGCATTATTAGATGACATTACTTAGCTACTTACTGTGGTTAGATATTATCTAGGAAAGCATCAAATGCTAGATGTATTCAAACACATTACTTCCGAAAAAAGTAGGGAGATTGTCAGTTTATAAAATGGGGCAGTGGTATTAAGGAAAGTTACATATGACCAGTTTCGGTTGGTCCATCACGAATCTCCATCCAGGTTCATGGGAATGGTTCAATCCACTGGCATGTGACGTTATCTGACAGCTGGGAATAGAAGTCGGTGGCGGTACAAGCGTGAGGAACTTCTTTGATTAAAACTGACTATATTTTGTTGTTTTTACTGAACTGTTTCTCTCTGTCTTTTTTTATTTATTATAATCATCCTTTATCTCCTCAATTTTATATTCTTAATATGTGGCGTATATTTGGTTGTACTTTTTCTATGTTCTTTTAATAAAACCTTCGTAAGCATTCATCTAAATGCCGATTTTGATTATATTTATTACAATCTTTATTAACTTTGGTGATTGTGTAAAAGAGTGGTGACAAGGTGGCCGTCTAATAGTACTACGCATTTTCGGTTTTTGACGGATGTCTATTTATAGTTTTGTGCTTTATAGCTATAGTATATTTTACACCGTGTGGCCAGAGTGAGAACTCCAGTTTCCATGTTTTTCTGTTGGTATTCATAATCAATTAGTACGTGGTGGTGAAATCATCCTTTTAACAGCACAATCTGCATCACACTCTACAGTAGAATGCTACCCATATGTGCATATATTATTATTAGTTATTAATCTGACTTTAGGAATGGTAATCTCACTATCGAAGTTGTTACTGCTAGAGTTAGCACAAGTATTTATAACTAGTTGCAGTTTGGTGCTTCATGGCTCCAACGAATTAAGGAATTGAGTATGATGTAGTTAGTCTTTCTGAATGAGTCTGCTTGTTTTACCGCATGTGAAAGGATGAAAATAGAATCAGTTCACAAATCTTGAATGCTTGATATTTAGAAAATGGGTGAGTTTCGAATTCTAGTTGTATTATTTATTGTAAATCTAACCAGTTTTCAGCTGATGACAGATTGAATGTATTGTACTAAGCACATCTCTCCAAATTATGAGCATTATATTTAAGGTATTAGCAAACAGTATAGACGAAACTGCTTTGTAACACACGCTCTTGTTAATAGATGAAGGAATATATTGAATTCACAATAGGTGGTTCAAACTGAGCAAAGCTTTTGTAAAGCTACTAAAATCTCACTAGTCATCAACCCGAAAGAGTTAAGACGTAACGCAATGGGTTGTATCGTTTCATTTAGTAAAACTAATGAGGACTAGTGAGTCAGACATTCGCACTTTGGGGGAGAGAAGCGCATCGGACATTTTTTTGACTTATCTCTTATAGAGTTTAAAGGATTTTTTAGCTTCAGTTTGAGAGTCACTAGCTCATATCAATATATTTGAGATCCATTAAGCACGATGACACCAACTTTTGAAATTAACAGCCGCTTTGATGTGTAGTAATGAAATCTGGTAGAAAATTATGTTGATTACTAAACGTAGCAGGATAGAATTCCCACCGAGATATCTCAAGAAAGTCGATGGGAGCGGAATCTACTTAATTAATCTCTATCATATACTGATTTAAAGTCCCTTTCACAACAAAAAGTGCGTTTTTAATATCTAATAAACAGCTCAAACCTTTCCAACAGATGCTTGTAAATCAGCAAGACTTTCAGTGAACTTGAATTTTGCAGACCATTTATTTTGGGATCCAACAACATCCAAATAAAATTCTTTGGGATCATTTAAGTGAATCAGTGGAGGTCTTATTTCTAAAGTATACTGAACCTTGACTGGCTGATTTCCGGGTTTTTTGGTTTTTAAACGATGCTTCTTACAGGCTGTCACTACAGTGAAATGAATGATATAATCAAGTGTTATTTTTCTCAAACGATGTTTATTACTTGAAACAGTTCTTATCACTACTGAGGAAAATAACTGCATCATGAGAAGAAGATTATCACAAATGAAGCCATGTAGTATCACATACACAATGTATTGGGCCCCCAAATGCCCTGGTACGGCCGTGAGTGGGGAGAGTCACCTCTCCCTCTCGAAATACTCTCATATGGCCAGCGAATATATAGCCTCTGCCAGGGAAGTCCTACTCACTGCCTTCTCGTGGCGGGGGTGTTGTTTACGAAATGGAGAGGACGAAAAGCGAATGTCCGGCGCTTTAACCGGGTTGGTGGACACGGAGGGTCCACCTAGGGGAGTTGGAAAACCCTGATTCAAAACCAATGGTGCACATGGGCTCCAGTATCCTGATGGAACGAATGGCGGACGAACCTGTCATTGGTGACCGGCTACCATAGGACTGCATCTCCTCACGATGCTCCACTGCCTTGTGGATCAGACAGTCAGGTCAAAGGCTCCGGGTGTGGCCCCCTAAGAAAACCACCTGCTTCAGTCTGGGCACCTGGGCAGTATCACAGCCCTCACACAAATCGAATGAGATTTGTGAGGCGCATATTTATCTGGTGCTTCATTGTACCAATTTTTATGTGTTTAAATAAATAAATAAAATGTATTGGGTTGGTTTCGTATTTAATGAAATAGTGTTCCTTTATTAAAAAAGCATAGTGCCTGGCAGGATGTCACGTAACTGGTCCATATAGAAACTGGCTTTGCGAAGCATAACAACGATATTTTGAAATTATAACTAGAATAAGTAGTAAATATTCTCGCGACTTTTGGGAACAGTAATTCATTATTATCATCCCAAAAGTAGTTACTTATTAACGGGTTATATCTACCAATTTACTCCATGATATTCTGACATAACGCCAGACAAATGAACATCTGCACCTATCCTTGGTAACGCGATTTAAGAAGCAGTTAGGTAGTTTAAGCGTGTATAGCGGTTTTAATGTTGGGGTTGGTGCGCAGATATAACCAGCTCATATTTAGCAAAAACTATAGCATAGTAATTACTAAGAACTTCGTTGAATAATAATTTATTGGATTTACAAGTAGGTGTAATAGTAGAGGCTTGGGCGAGATGATAATACGCCGTCTACATTTCTTTCAGTCTAAAAATAGTCCGGAAAGAAACTAGGGAACATAAATTTCTCGGTAAACAGATCTTTCCACAAAATAACTGGTCTCCTTAACGACGATTGTAATGTGCGTCTGCCAAACAGTCTATCTTGAAATGACTCATTGTAGAGGGGCTTATAAATATGACTCCTACCGGAAGATGAGGAAATCTCTGAAGGATTTATTGAAATTTATCCGGAATATTAAATTCTAAAACTTGTCGAGGAGAAACTTAGTACACGAATTAAGACTCGTAAATCCGATGAGGTATACATTATATTTTGTCTAGTAATAAATTTGTCTTGAAACTAGTTGAATATCAGTTGCAGTAATCTAAACTTAACGGACGATAATATTATTGTATGATTCAAGGCAGTAATAGTATCCTGTTAATCAAACAGTGGGAAATACTTGATTATAAAGACGAAGATTAATGAATATGGAGCTTTGTGGTCTAAATAAACTTTCATGTAACAAATAGAACTTTGGGTGATTAGGAGAGAGTAGGATTTTTTATTACAGTAACTATCTGCTGATTGACGTAACAGTAATAACGAAATCTATGATGAATAAAAAATAGTATACATCTAACTGATTACCTTCAGGTTTATGTCTGATAAAACATCTCTTCAAAAATATTCTCTCTAATTCCATTGTCGAGTAAAATATTAAGATGTATTGTGATTCACAATTACGAACTGATTAAGGTCATTTGATAGAGCCAATCACAGTGGTCATACTTAAACTGAAATTATCGAAATTTTATTTTATAAGGGCAATCAACTTTTTGATTTGTTTAAAAAAGTGTAGATCTACAATTAGTTGGATGATAAAAATGATACACAGATAGGAGGTTGATGCTGGAGATAAAAATGATACATTTTCAAATAGATGAAATTATGTCTAAAATACATATAAAAGAGATAATTATGTATCTGACTAACTTGGGAATACAGTTTTCGAGTCTGCAGAAAATGTCAACTTACTTGAAGGAAGACAACAATCAAAAAGGTTATTTAACATTTTGATACAAGTACGGTGGCTAGAGTAAGACTAACATGATCGGTATCAGTCTTGGGGAAAGCGACTTGGACAGAAACTAATTGGTAATTTGGTGTAACACTACTGCATAGCGAAATAAATAATAAGCAACGGTAGTATGGACAGCGGTTTTTTCACATAGCGAAACTACTGCAAGTGACAATGATCAGTGAAGCTATATGACGGAATCGGTATGCTACTGAGTGAATTAGTAGACACTTCTGAAATATGGTCCTTGATGGTTAAGTATCTTGCTAATTTACATAGTAGTGGAATTAATCTATAGTTAACGTAGTCAGTCACCCTAAACACTGACTGTCCGTGATCATTCTAGTATACTCTAAACTAGAACTTTTTATGCAAAATAGAGCGAGAAAACTTCCTTGTGAAGGAGATATACGTACAAAACACTTAGTTGGATCCCACTTTTAATAACGTTATTAAACTTAACAGAGAACAAGTTATCCAACTCTAGCAAGTTACTTTTAACCAAGTCATTTCAACAATTGGTCTAACTGATACTATGTTCATACTGGGTAACTATGATTTTAAGACCGAAACTGCCTTATGAATGAACGAGGTTCTCTTCACTGACTAACCGTCAGATGGAGAACTATTAATTAACTACCGAACGCATTCAGTAATTTTGCGACTAGCTTTAAAAACATCATAGTCACTTGTATAAAACCTAATAATCCACTTAACTGAACGCCTTCAACTCGGTGCGAACATCATTCAATATCACGGGTGAGCAATCGACCTC